TTGTTGTTAGGTGCATATGTTTATACTTGTTATTTCTTCTTTATGGATTAACTCTTTTATCATCATAAAATGTCCTTCTTTGCTCTTGTAACAATTTTTGCCTTAAAGTCTATTTTGTCTGATAGTATAGCCACTCCAGTTCTCTTTTGTTTGCTGTTTGAATGGTATATCTTTTCCATTCTTTTATTTTCAGCTTTTTGTGTTTTTGAATCTAAAGTGAGTCTCTTGTTGGATCACATTTAAAATATCCATTTAAAAAAGTTCAAAAAACTTTTAATTGGAAAGTTTAATCCATTTATATGTAATGTAATTACTGATAACTGGGGTTTACATCTGCCACTTTCCTATTTTTTTCTATTTGTCTTATGTCTTTTTTGTTTCTTAATTCCTACACCATTGCCTTCTTTTGTGTTAAATTATTTCATTATGCAGTCATCTTTAAACCAGATGGGAAAAAAAGGTTTACAAACAAAAAATACATTTATACTGTCTTTTATATTTATCTTATGGTTACCTTTACTGCTCTTAATTTCCTTTTTGTTTTTAAATAATTTAACAGTTTCTTCTCTTTTTTCCCCTATTTATTTATTTATTTTTTCCTGTGTTGGGTCTTCGTTGCTCCGTGCGGGCTTTCTCTAGTTGCGGTGAGCAGGGGCTACTCTTCGTTGCAGTGCTCAGGCTTCTCATTGCATTGGCTTCTCTTGTTGCAGAGCACGGGCTCTAGGCACGCGGGCTTCAGTAGTTGTGGCCCACGGGCTCAGTAGTTGTGGCTCACAGGCTCTAGAGCACAGGCTCAGTTGTTGTGGAGGACAGGCTTAGTTGCTCCAAGGCATGTGGGATCTTCCCGGATGAGGGATTGAATTTGTGTCCCCACCATGCTGGCAGGCGGATTCCTAACTGCCACTGCACCACCAGAGAAGTCCCTGCTCTTAATTTCTTCATGTGGATTCGAATTATTGTCTCGTGTCCTTTCATTTCATCCTGAAGGACTCTCTTTAGTATTTCTTTTCAACTCTAGGATTTGTTTTTGGTCCCATTTTATAATTTCTCTCTCTTTATTGATATTCTCCATTTGGTGAGAGATTTTCATACTTTTCTTTAGTTTTTTAGATCTGGCTTCCTTTAGTTCTTTGAACGTATTTGTATCAGCTGATTTGAGGTCTGTCTAGTAAGTCTAACATCTGGGCTTCCTCAGGGACAGTTTCTGTTGATTGCTCTTTTTTTTATGTGTCTAGGTCATTTTTTTTTGTTGTTTCTTTGTGTGTATCATAATTTTTGCTGAGAACAGGACTTTTCAAATAAAATAATGTGGCAGCTCTGGAAACCAGATTCTCCCTACTCCCCAGGGTTTGTTGTTGCTGCTTATTGTTTGTTTAGTGAGTTTTCTGAACCGATTCTGTAAAGTCTGTATCTCTGTCATTTGTGGCCACTGAAGTCTCTGCCTGGTTAGTTTAGTAGTCAGCTAATGATTGGACAGAGATTTTCTTGAATGTCTGAAACCAGTAAGTCTCCCAGCCTTTACTGAAGGCTCTGAGTGTATGTTGGGGCACAGTTTCAACATCCAACCAGGCACTTTACAACTCCGCCTTAGTCTTCACTTCCTGATTGTACAGAGCCCAAAAGGTCCATCAGAAGTGAGTGCTTAGGACCTTCTAAGTACTTTCCTGAGCATGCACATAGCCCTGGGCATTCGCATGGCCTTCTAGATTCCCAGGAATATGTCGGTTCTTTTTGAAGCCCCTAAGGACATCTCATTCCTTGTTTTTTTCTTTTAAGCTTTTTGATTAGTCAGTTGCCCAACTGTCCCCTTTGCCTGTGACAATGGCAGCTATGACAGTAATACATAGATAGTTGTGATAGTAATACATTTGAAAAACTCACCCCAGGAGAGGCTTTGAGCACTGGGTAAGTGTGAGTGAGGTCACATAAAAACCAGCCTTTCAAGTGGTATCTTCCAGGGAAGACCAGGTCTTTCTCCTTTGGGAATGAAGCTTTGAAAGAGTTTCAGCCCTGTTCTGCTCCCTCATTACTGGGAATGCAGCCAGTTACTTTTCTAGGCAGCTATGGAGTTAGGAAGTGGGGATTAAGGACTAGGATAAATTAAAACACCATAAAGGTGTTCTTACCAAGATTCAGCTTTTATAACCCCCTCCCAGTTGGTTATTTTTAAAATTTATCTATTGTTATTGAGGTATAATTGACATACAACATTATGTTAGTTTTAGCTGTACAACATGATTTGATATTTGTATATATTGTGAAATGATCACCACAATAAGTCTAGTTAACATCTAGTTAACTAGACACCATAGTTATAAAAATTTTTTTTTCCCTTGTGATGAGGACTTTTAAGATTTATTCTCTTAGCAACTTTCAAATATGAAATACAGTATTATTAACTATAGTCACCATGCTGTACATTACATCCCCATGACTTATTTGTCTTATAAGAGGAAGTTTGTATCCTTTGACCCCCTTCCCCCATTTCACCCATCTCCCACCCCCCCCCACCTCTGGCAACCATCAATCTGTTCTCTGTATCTGACCTGGGCTTTTCATTTTGTTTTGTTTTTAAAATTCCAAGTATAAATGTGACCACACAGTATTTGTCTTTCTCTGTCTGACTTATTTCACTTAGCATAATATCTTCAACTTTCAGCCATATTTTCTCAAATGGCAAGATTTCATTCTTCTTTATGGCTGAATAGTATTCCATTGCATTTATATACCACATCTTCTTTATCCATTCATCCATTGATGGACACTTAGGTTGTTTCCATATTTTGGCTATTGTAAATAATGCTGCAATGAACATAGAGGTGTGTATATCTTTTCAAATTAGTGTTTTTGTTTTCTTCAGATAAATACCCAGAAGTGGAATTGCTGGATCATATGGTAGTTCTATTTTTAATTTTTTAAGGAACCTCTATACTGTTTTTCATGGTGGCTGCATCAATTTACATTCCCACTAACACTTGTTCCTTTTTCTCCACACCCTCAGCAACACTTGTTATTTCTTGTCTTTTTGATAATAGCCTTTCTTTTTTTTTTTTTGCGGTACGCGGGCCTCTCACTGTTGTGGCCTCTCCCGTTGCGGAGCACAGGCTCCGGACGCGCAGGCTCAGCGGCCATGGCCATGGCTCACGGGCCCAGCCACTCTGCGGCATGTGGGATCTTCCTGGACCAGGGCATGAACCCGCGTCCCCTACAGGCGGGCTCTCAACCACTGTGCCACTAGGGAAGCCCTTCGATAATAGCCTTTCTGACAGGGGTGATATCTCCTTGAGGTTTTGACTTGCATTTCCCTGATGATTAGTGATGTTGAGCATATTTTCGTGTACCTGTTGGTCATCTGTATGTCTTCTCAGCAGTTTTTCTTGCTCTCTGGGTTACTATAAGTCTTTGGTTAATTTACAGAGTTCTGACAGAGGTGATGCTGACATTCCTTGCTAGTTTTTTCATTGCTTTTATGGAAAGACAAACTTTCAGAGGTCCTTATTCTGCCATTTTTGCTGACATCATTCTTCCTGTGTTTTTGCAACTGTGTTCTCTGGAGCCAGAATGCTGGCTGGGGATCCCAGTGTGGCTGGTACCTCCACCCCCACTGGTAAGAGGGGCCTAGGCCCCAGGCCATCGACTTGAAGCTGCTCTAAGAAAACTCTCTACACTAGCTTTCTTAAGCATTCATCTCTCTACATCAGCAGGTGGGAGGTGATCCTTCTACTTGTTGGCTCCAGGCTCAGCTTCTCTCTGCCCTTTAGCCCCTGGGGCCACCTTTAAGAAAATATTTGTTGAATTGATCAGTGCTTGGTACCTTTGGAATTGAGCTGCTTTGACAAACTCTATACTCCCCCCAATGTTTGTAGTCATCTGGCTGTGTTTGGAGGTTGACCCCCAGGGGAGTTAACGAGTACTTACTTCCTCGCGTTTGGATTTACTGGATGACATGTGTTCCTCGGTGTCTGGGACTGGCATCTGAGACTCGATGGATCCCCTCAGTTTCCTCCTGCCCCAGTGTTGGAGGCCCAGCACCCCGGAATGATGGAAGGCAGAGGAAGATCCTGCTCACGCTTCCTGACCCTGCTAGAAAGGTTTTCCAGGGAAATGGAATCTAAGTTATGGATTTCTGCGAGTCCTCTAGATCCTTATTTAACGCTGCGCGTGGTGCCTGCCCGGCCAGCAGTGGCCACAGTTCAGATGCTGGCCGTGGGTGTTTGCACTTAGATCACAGTAACCCCGCCAGTCCCTTTAGGTAAGAAGGCATATGGAAATGCTGCCTTTCTGCTGGTCTTCCATCAGAGGCTGCTGCTTCTGCTTTCCGTGGTGAGCTGGGGGGCTACCTGCCCTCTAGCTTTTGACAGTGTGGACCCCTTTTGGGGTGGATGGTTATTTGTTGGCCAGATCCAGGGACCGGGCTGCCCTGGTCTGGGTCTCCTAGGTGGCTGCAGGTTCTCAGGGAAGGGAACAAGGCAAACGTGGGCATGTGTGGGAATCCCTCATCAGCTTCTTGCCTGTTTGCAGGATTCCTAAGCTGGCTCCGTCCCATACTGCCCTCCTCAGATGACTGTACCATCGTCAGCATGTCCAGGGGGCTTAGGGTTTCCTCGGAGGCTCCTGGCAACCCGGGATCTCCAGGCATCCTGCCCTGCCACTGTGGACTGGACCTCTCACCTCGGTGCTCCTTGGGATCTTCCCAGCGTGTTCCCTCCCCAGCCTGGACCCAACCCTGCCAGCCTCAGCTTTCACTGTGCTGCCCCCGCGGCGGGAACAATATCCTTTCTATTCGGAGTTGACTCTGCTGCCCTTTGGAGATCGCAGTGCGTAACGTGAGCTCCTGTGCAGAGGGGTGGGGGCCGAGGCGCCCCCCGCACGCCGGGAGTCCGGCCGCCCAGCCAGGCCGTTGGTGGCTGCCCGCCGCCGCACCTGCCCTCCGAGGCTGGGGTCCGACGGCCGGTCGGAGCAGGCGGCCCGCGACGCGGCGGCAGGAGGAGGCCCGCGCCATGGCCGCCCGGCTGGGCGCGCTCGCCGGGTCGGGGCTGTACCGGCGGCGCCAGCACCGGCAGAGCTCGCCGCCCGCCGCGCCCGGGTAGGTGGCCGGGGGCAGGGCGGGGGCGCGGGGGACAATGGCCGGAAAGCTGCCGCCGCGGGCTTTTCCTCGGACACCCGCCTGGCCCTTCCGACGGCGGCGGCGGCGGCGGCGGCCCGGCTGCCCCGGGCGTGAGGACGGCGCCTGGCGTGGCGGCCATGGGGGGCAGGGCGCGGCTTAATCCAGTCGGGTTTGCTGTCCTGGGATCAGCACTCTTGGGCAGGGCGCTGAGGATGGGGTGCTCATATAAGTTGCCCGAGATAACCTCCACGACTGCTTTCAGACTCGGATCGCTTTCTGGCCGCTTTCTAGATGAGCACCCTGGGTGGTCAGGGAACGCGCTGGACATCACCCATCCAAAAAATGGCTAAGCTGTGACTTGAAGCCAGGGCGGACTGACTCTGAAGCCTGAACTGCTTTATCCCGGGGAGAACTGCCAGTGTAGACAATGAGGAGAGCTTCCTTTGGGACTGGGAGGGGGAACCTGTGGGTACGGGATGGACCTCAGGGCATCTCCGAGGACGAGTTAGCCTGGGCTGGGGAGGGCCCGAGGGGGCACTTAGATGGTGGAGCCCCCGGAGTGAGGGTGGGGCTGGGGGAGGGGCTCCTGGACATGTTGAAGTTGCAGGGAGTGAGCGCGGTGAGGGCCGTGGGCTTGCGGTCTTTGGCATCAAAATAGCAGGTGGGACCCCCGGAGGCGTGGGGGAGGAGCTGTGGGAAGGACGTGGGGTTTGCGAGGATTGGGTGGGGATTCAGGGAGGGGACAGAGCAGCAGTCACAGAGGTGGGCGGCCTGGAGGCTGCGGGAGGAGGGCGAACCCAGAGGCTCATGCTCCGCGGTAAACGTGCGCCCCACGGTGTGCTCACGGTGCGAGCATGGCCAGGGCAGCCTTCCGGAGCAGGGCTGAGGATTGAGCCCTCAAAGGTGTCTGGGAAGCCGTCAGGTGGGGGGCAGGGGGCAGAGACTGCAGAGGGCCACCCGCGGGATACCTGTTGTAGCCGGGCTTGCACCTGCATCCGTGTCTCAGGCCCCTCACCAGGGGCCACACCAGGATGGGCACTGGACAAGCCCACTGCTCCGCTGGGGAATCCGGAGCGCGGGAGGCCAAGTGACTTACCTGAGTGAATGGGAACCCTCACCGGTTGGCCTCTGGATGACCGTGGACATCTGTGGAGTGAGCCGGGAGTGGGCGATCAGGGCCCTGATGGGCCAGAGGCCAAGCTGGAGGCTGGTTTCACTGTATGGATGCAGCACAAGAACTTGACCCAGATGAAAGGAGGGTCAAGTGAAGGCTGATAGTGAAGATCAGCCCTCAGGAAAGTCCCGTGCACACAGGCATGCACGTACGTTCATATGCTAACCTTAGCTTGATATCGCTTTGAGCTTCTGGCTTGTGACTGACTGCTGTGCGGGATCACCTGGTCTCAGCGACACGGACTCACCCTCGAGTGTGCAAAGGCCCCTGCGGCCAGCCCCTGCCTATTCCTGGGCCCTCACGCTGGCTTTCTAGGCTCTGGTGGGTGGGAGACTGGAGTGGGGGATGGTCTGGGGTTGTTGAAAAAGCAGTCTTGAATGGTCGTGCCGGTGTTATGCCACCAGGAGCTGAGGGGACGAGAGAGCACGGATCCAATCCCGTGTGACCTCAGCAGGTTTCTGACCCTCTCTGCACATCAGTTTCCTTATCTGGAACCAGCAACCTCCCCGCCCAAGGACCTGGCTCGGAGAGGACTCCCTCCAGCCCACCCCAGGCTAGAGCTCAGTGACGTCTTGCAACAAATAGGCTTGCGTTGGCTGTCAAGATTGAGAGCCTTTGGGGTGCCGTGGAGGGTTGGAGAAGGGTACAGGGTAGGTGGGGGTGACCACCTCCCTCCTGCCCCACCAGCTGCCCCAGCCCGTCTCAGGGAGCAGACACTTATGTGACGGCATCCCCATGGCCCGTGCTCGGGAGCACTGGTGTGCCCCCCCGCCCCCCAGCTCTGGGGTTTGGCCTCTAGGTGGTGGCCGTGCTCTCGGCAGTGTTTGTGTGCTGTCTAGCCGGGGTGGGGTGGCGGCGTCTCCCTGCGGGTAACCGGGCAGACTGTGCTCCGGGCTCTTGGGCGGAATGCGTGAAGGAGGATGTGGCATGCGCGTCTCCCTCCTTTGTCCTCACAGGGAGCGCTGCTGGGCCGGGGCGGGGTGGGGGTGGGGGGGTCCCTGAGCTGCCGGCAACAACCGCTCTGTATCCAGCACTTGGCCTGCCTGGCCCTGTGCTCCGTGCGCTGTACCTATGCTGCAGGCAGCGAGTTCTTCGCTTCAGCTCTGCGGGGCGGGTCCTGCTCCTCTGGGCACCTCTTTGCGGATGAGGAAATGAGGCCCAAGGAGCTGGCGCCTTCTTCCAGGTGCACAGCTGGGGGCTAGGGCTGTCAGGGTTTAACCTCGCGGGGTGGAGCCCAGAGCAGCCTCCTCCTGCAGGGAACAGCTGGCATTTTCTCTGACGGACCTGTGGTCCAGCTGTCCGGCACGTGAGCACATCGGCCCATCCGTCTGCCTTCGGCCAGTGAGCTGGGGTGTTCTCTGCAGTCCGGAGCAGGGGCCGTGGGGACGCAGCCACAGAAGTGACGCGGGGGGTGCACCTGGCCGAGACCTGGGCTGGGGCAGCTGGTGGGGCAGGGGGGAGGTGGTCACCCCCGCACCCCACCTGTCTGTGCCGAGGCTTATCGCGAGGTGTGTCGGGGACAGACGGCAGAATCCTTGACCTGAGACTCCCAGGGACCCAGCCAGGGAACTAGACCCAGACCAGTGAAGGGCCAGCTGCTCTTTTGGGGGCTGGCTGCTGTGGTGACAGCGTGGAGATGCAGTCCCTGAATGTCTGCCTTGCAGGGAGGCCGGAGTTCTGGAGAGGCAAACCGAAGATGGGCCTGCCATGCACTCGCTTGGTTAGGGTCCAGAGGTCTGGAACAATCTGGAAGCCTGGGGCTGCACTTGAATTCTTGTTTTGGCTTCATTTTCTGGGTCCTTTCAGTGGGGAATTCCAGGCTCAGAGTCACAGGATTTCCTGTTGATTTCTGGCTACTCCAAGACCTGCCAAGGTCTTGTTCGTGGCCAGGCACTGGCACTTCCTCCCAGCCACCTTGGGTATGTGTGTTTGGGGAGAACAAGGCCTCCAGGTTCACAGTGTTCTTGGGACAGGAAACCATGCCTGTGCTGACAGAGCCCAGCCCAGCCCATGGCAACTGGTACTGATCGCCTTGTGGCGATCAGCAGGGAGCTGGAAAGGAGGGTGGTGGCCACTGTGCACAGAGCCTCCCTGTCATCTTGGGCTCTGCCCATCCCTCCTGCCACTGTCCTGCCTCCTTGCCCCTTTGGCTTAAATATGGATGCAGGAGATGGCTTTGGTACCCCAAGTATACCCGGGGGCAGGCAGAGGCATGCAGAGGTGCACTTGCCTGGCGAGGCTTGCCAAGGAGCCTACCGGCCCTGCCTTTGCCGCGAGGGCTCCTCCAGCAGAGCAGAGAGGAAGTCCTGCTTGGGTGCCCCAGCCCGGCTTCCAGACCGTGTCCACGTGGCAGCGACCCTCCGCTAGACCCACTGTCCACACCTAGACCCCTGACAGGCAGAGCCCTCTCCCACCTCCTGGGCTCATCGCGCCTAGGGACCCCAGCACGAGCGTTGCTCACTTGAGAATTCTCCTCCTGGTGCTGTGGCCATGAGGGAGGGGTGGGCTTCAGCATCCCGGGAGGCGGAACAGGCTGAAAAGATGTTCTCAGGAGACGTGCCGCGTGCCACCGCACGCGTCTACGCGATGTTGCCAACCGGTTACATCTCTCCTCACTGAGCCTGACCTTCCTTCTGTGCCCACCCAGTTGACACGAGACAAAATCTCTTTGCCGCCCTTGTAGCCAAAGGCACAGGCATCAGGGTGCTGGGCGTTTGTAGAGACTGTCGGGGCTGACAGCCAGGCTCCTCCAGCCTGAGCCTTGGGGCCCCAGCCTGGAGCCAGCACACGTCTGTCTGTGTGACCATTTCCCCTGTAGTTTAGCTTGGATTCCACGCCTCCTGGCCGGATGTCTGCCGCTTCCCCGGGGACAGCAGTTGCCCCCCGTGGATGAGGAGGTCCGCTCCCCACTCTGCTCCCATCCCCAATATTCACAATCTCACCTTCCCCATGGTAGGGTGGTTATATGTTTTGGGGGTGCAGGTGATTTGAAACTAAGTCGTGGTGCAGGGGAAAGAGCCATTGAAGTCGGAACAATCTGTGTTCAAATCTGGACGCTGTCATCTGCTCTGTGAGTTTGGGCAAGTTACTTAACCTCTCTGAGCCTTAGGAAAGCAGGGTGGCCTCGGGGATTAAATAAGTGTGTAAAAACCGAGCCGCTCCCCTGTGTCTGCCGAGTGTCCCTGAAACCTCGAGAGATGGCCCAGCACCGTGACTGAGCAGCCTGGGGGCCCGGTCAGTGACACTCACAAGCACAGTGCCATCCGCTGTGGGCTTACAGTGGGCCAGGCACCCTGCTGAAAGCTTGTGTGTCCGTCGTCTAACAGCCTGTAACCCGTGGCCACGGCCATGATTAGGGTCCTTCCACGGCTGGGCGTCTGGGCCTGGAGAGCGAGGGCCAGCCTCGGCCGCCCTGTGAGTGAGAGCAACGGACTTGAGCCATGACTGCTCTGGCTGGCGTGAGCCTGGCGACGGCCGGGCCTGTGCCTGACCCCCTGTGTAGGGCACCGGGGGCTGCAGGGTGTGGGGGAAGGTCAGGGCCCGAGGGTCAGGCAGGGGACCGGTTCTGATGTAGGCTTTGCCTCTGCCCACTGTGGCCCTGGTGGTGGGCGGGTCACTCTCTCCAGGCCTCCGCTTGTCCATCTGGGAGATGGAGGTGCTGCGCTGGCCTCGCAGGGTTGTCATCTGGGAAGGCCACCGTGGCCTGGCATGCGCTGGCACCTAATGTGCCCGAGGCACAAGGCAGCTGCAGGGATGGGTGACAGCCACGCAGGGTGACCCAAGCCGGTGCCGGGCAGCGTGGCCCCGACTTTGTGACTCAGTCCCTGCGGTGCCAAGGCCGACCCGGGGTGAGGACAGCACTGTCTTCACCCCAGAAATTGTGTCCATCGAGTGCTGCCCTCAGGCCCTGACCTGCCCGTTCCTTCTTCCCACCCAGTAACATGTCCAATGCCTTGGCCAATGCCGTGTGTCAGCGCTGCCAGGCCCGCTTCGCCCCTGCCGAGCGGATTGTCAACAGCAACGGCGAGCTGTACCATGAGCACTGCTTTGTGTGCGCTCAGTGCTTCCGGCCCTTCCCCGACGGGCTCTTCTACGAGGTGAGGATGCTCCCCCAACCCTTGCCGCTGCCTTCTCAGAGCCGGGGCCCTGGACCCAGCTCAGGGTCTGCCCTCTGGCAGCCTGTGGGCCATGCCTGGCCGTGGTCCTCTTGTGAAGGATGAGGCAGACACGCCAGCCCTTGAGCTGAGCGGTGCTCCTTGAGGACCTTTCTGGCCACCTCGGGGCCCCATCCCTTACCTGTGAGATGTGAACAGTGTTCTCCTGGTGGCCGTGGGTGCTGAAGGAGAGTTGCTGTTCATCCTGTCACCTCTGGGCAGATGCTGGGGTGTCCTGGGGTGCAAACGCCCTGCCTTGGTGGCACTTACCCTCCCTGGGGTCGGGCAGTAAACATAACCCACGTGTACCAGATGGTGCTAAGTGCTCTGGTTGTAAGGCATCTCGGGGCGGGGGGTGGTGATCAGGGAAGGGAATGTCTGAGCAGACCTGAAGGAGGTGAGAGAGCAGCGTGTACCTGCAGGAGGAGCTCTCGACAGAGGGCACAGCAAGGGCAAAATGGCCCTGAGGTTGGGGCATGCAGGTATTTGAGGAGCAGTGGGGGGCCGGTGTGATGGAAGCAGAGCAAAGGAGAGGGAACAGAAGAAGACGAGAGTGGGGAGGCAGATTTGCTTGGCCCCGTGGGCCTTCGTGGGGCCTCAGGCTTTCCTTCTGGGAGGGGCAGCAACCACTGCAGGGTCTGGAGGGGAGGGGGTCACATCGTCTGTCTGACCTTAGAGAAGGACCTCTGGTTGCTATGCTGAGGAGAGACTGTGTGCGGCGGGGACAGAAGCTAGGAGAACAGGTGGGACCAGAAGCCGATTATTTCGGTAATCCAGATGGAAGTGAAGGGGCCTACACTGGGCTGCACTGGGTCACAAGAGCAGATTGTTAAATTTTCAGCAGTCTTGCAAGCCGGTTGTTAAACACAGCCATTACTAAAAGTTAAATGATATAAACATACAATGAGATAAAACTGTATTAAAAACAAAGGTAACATTCGTTTTGCTGTACAGTAGAAACAACATGGTAAAGCAACTATACTCCAATAAAAATTAATTTAAAAAAACAACAAAGGTAACAGATACTCAAAACTCACCACTTCCTAATTACTTTATTACATTTCACGATCAGCTATGCCTTTGAGGTTATGATTTGTTATTATGCCTGTGTGCTGGAAACACTGTACCGTGGTGGCCACTGACATCTCTTCTCATCTCCATGCGGAGGTCTGTTGGTAGCTTGAAATTGACCACAGGTGGGAATATTTATACCATAGAAATCGGCAAACACTACAAGGCAGACTCAGAGCCAGTTGTGAAATGTTTACCAGCACACCAGGGCAGTTCTCAGAGGCTGGGTAGATTTCCAAGCTGATGGGACGGGCTGGTAGATGGCTGTGGGGTGTGTGATCTGCCTGGCAGAGTAGGAGCTGCTGTTGCCTGTGGTGCCTCCTGGGAAAAGCTGGCCGATGATGGAGGCGGGGGTGGGGGGAGGGGAGATGTGGGCAGGGTGCCGTGGATGTGCCTACTGACAGTTTAAATTCCTTTAAATTCCTGCCGCCTCTGAAGGTCACTGGCTAGGGCTCTAGCCAGGTGCAGCTTAATAAGACACTCATTTTAGAGAACAGGGGAAAACCAAATACAATTATCAAGGGAGAAGAAAGCAGAGGCTTTCTTGGGGCCACACTTGGGGCCAGTGTGAGGGCCCTCCTTGCCCAGACAGATGGGGACAGTGGCTGCAGGACTCCCTTGCCTCCCTTCCTGTGTCCCTCCTTCTGTGTCCCTTCCCTGGGTCTTTTGTGGCCCCTGGGGGAATGGACTTCTCACACAGGAAACAGGGCTAAGGGACACACAGAATTCAAACTCGATCCCCACCCTCCGCAGCCAGACGTTCCGCCCCCAGCCCTCAGCTTGTTCCCGAGACCAACAGGGCCGAGATCTTCTGCAAGCAGCAGTGGCCCTTTGAGGGGCTGGCCTTGCTGAGTTGCCGGCTTCTTCAAGGCCCCTCGCTTTGCACTCTCCCCGAGTCGAACAGGCCAATCCCGTCCCATCTCCAGGCCTTACACGGGCAGCTCGCTGTCTGGAATTCCTCCCCCCTCCCAGCTTCCTGTGGTGGTAGCAGGTGCACACAGTGGGGTGTTTGCCCAGCGTCCTCGAGGGCAGGTCCTCACCCAGCAGACCGGCTGGTGCAGCTCGGGGGATGACAGTGGCTTCCTTGTCCTCTGTCTGCTGGCCCCGTCTGCAGCTCGAAGGGCGGAAGTACTGCGAACACGACTTCCAGATGCTGTTCGCTCCGTGCTGCAGGACCTGCGGTAAGGGCCGCACAGGCCTCGGCGCTGCCTGTGAGGCGGGTGGGCAGAGAGCTTCGGCCTCGGGCTCCCGCGGGTGCCACCCTCCCGGCTCTGCGAGGGGCCCGCAGAGGGGAAGGGCACGAGGCGAGCAGGAACCTCTCTCCTCCAGGCGAGTTCATCATCGGCCGTGTCATCAAGGCCATGAACAACAACTGGCACCCCGGGTGCTTCCGCTGCGAGCTGTGCGACGTGGAGCTGGCCGACCTGGGCTTTGTGAAGAACGCTGGCAGGTGAGATGGGCCCCTCATCGCGGGCCCGGGCCCGGTCCGGGCGCTGCAGGCTGCGGATGGGGCTGCTGTGCGGCCCTGTCCCTGCGAGGTGGACGGGAGAGCCCTGTCCAGTGTACGGGTGAGGACGGAGCCTGGAGAGAGCGAGGGATGGTGAGTCGGGGGCCACCCCAGGCTTGGGGCTGTTTCTGGGAGCAGGCTGACAGCATACAGCAAGGAGGAAGGCGGCCCGAGCGGGTGCTGTTGGTGCAGCAGAAGGATGAGGAGCTTTGAGTCAAGTTCCTGCCTGCCCGGCCACCCCCAGTGCTGGCTCCGGCCGTCCACCTCCGTCCTGACGCCCCACGAGCGCTGCTGGAGGGACAGCACTCAGCCGGGGCCCAGGTTTCCTCAGCAGGCTAAGCTGTCACCTTCCACGAAGACTTGCTCTTTTCTCCCCGCCTCCTACCTGCCCCCCCACTGTCCCTGCACCATCACGCCCACAGCCAGGACCTCCCCTCCCCCTCCCCGAAGGATGGGCACCTCTGCCGCCCGGCATCCGTGCTGCCCCACTGCCTTGTCAGAGTGGGGACCGTGTCCCTGCACCCCAAAGCCCTGCTCACCCCACACACCCTCTCCAGCCGGGGCTCATGGCTCTGGTCCGCTCTCTCTCCCTTTCTAAGGGCTCAGGCTTGGTGGCCCCCAAAGCACCCTCTGAGCCTTCTTTCCACAGCGATTGCCTGCAGCCCTCCCCAGCCCACCAGCCGCGTCCTCCCGTCTGCTCCCCGCCGCCCAGGCTGGTCGGCGTCTCCGCGGCCTTCACGGCAGCCCCCGCTCCTCTCTGGGCACCCAGGCCCCCGTGTTCTGGGAGTTTCCTCCCACTTCACGGCTCTCCTCTCCTGGCTCACTTTCCTCCGCCCGTCTCTCCATGTTGGGCTCCTCTGGGGCTCTGCACTGGGCCCAAAGTCCCGGTGCCTCCCATGGCGAGTGTGTGCTGGGCAATCCAGATGTCCGCCTCCACCCCGGACCTCTCCCAGAGTACCCCACTGCCCACATGCCAGCTCCACTTGGTGTCCAGAGGGCACCCCAAATGCCACAGAGCCCAACCAACCAACCAACCGACTCCGAGTTTCCCCTCTGCCGACAGCCAGGCCTCAGGGAAGAGCAGGCCTACCTCATTAGCAGCGCCCTAGCTCACCATCTCCCATGCCCTCCCGTCTGGGCACTTGTCACATTCTCTGGTGCCTGTTGAGTACCCCTTCCTGACGTTGCCGTAGTGGTCTCGCCCATCTGCCTGCCCCACCAGAGACGCGTGTCGTCCGTCTTGGTGTCTGTAGAGCACTCAGTAGCAGCTTGGGTATTGGGTGAGGATCTGAGAGACCATCGGGGGGCAGACAGTGCAGCGGGGCGGGGGGGTGTCCCATGGTGGTCCGTGGGGTCACCTGCCGGGTGTGGCCCTGAGCCGCAGCTCGTGCTGGGACCCCTGCTCCGGTGCTCTGCTGGAAAAATCCGGAAGAGGCTGGACGTGCTCAGGAAAGTAAAGTATCGCTGTGATGAAAGGAGTGCGGGGGCCCTACGCGCACCCTCCAGCCCAGGTCGGCGCTCTGAAGCCCACGGGGCAGAACTTCAGAGTCTGCACGGGGCAGGCCCACCGTAGGGCCACCAGAACCACAGTCCACACTGCTGCCTTTGCCTCCGCTTTGCCATTCTTGGGTCAGAGGGAAGAAAAGTTCTGGGGAGGGAGTTGTGTTAACCAAACAGAATAACCTTCAGTTATTAAAGTACAGTTATGTTTATGATCAGTATAATCAAGTACAAGAAAGGACCGGTGAGGGCGATCAGGCCACCCTATAAGCAAAACAGCTCAAAGCTTGGCCTGCCGGGACTGGTGGAAGCCTCTTGGGAAGGAGTGGGACTCTGCCCCTGCTGGGTCTGGGTTAGTGGGAGACGGGTTCGCAGGCCGGGCCTTGCCCTCCCCGCCACCCCGGCGGCGACAAAGCTCAGCTCCCTGTGACCGTCCACCCATAGCATGTGTTCCACGGGGACTCGGGAGGGACTGGGCAGCTGCAGAGAAGCCCTGGGGATTGTCGGGCACATGCAGGTCTGCGTGTGGGTTTCTGGCAGGAGGGATGGAGAGCTGATGTGCCTCACAGGCCCCGCCCGTGTTGCTGGCTGTCACCTGGTGACCACCCTGAAATGTGCTTACGGTGTTGGGTTCTAATTTATAGCTGTGTCCCCTAAATACAGAGTCCTTTGGCAAAGGTGCCACAAAGGGACCTCAAAGTACCTTGCACTTGAGAGAAAAACTTTAGACCCCCCCC